TATTTTCAACGCTTTTAAAAAAGACATCCGAATTGAATTGCTAAATTAAGTTTTAGTAATTGACTATCATTATTTTGCCTCCATGATTTTATACGAGTTTTTGTTAGTAAGACTAATATTTAGGACTACTTATCTTTTCCTACATAAAAAGGAGTCCTTCCAAGCATAAAAAAGGTAACGCGGTGTTGACCACTATCTTTTTTATCCACTTCTATTTCTTCTAATTTTTTAAATACAAATTAAATGTCACAAATTTTATATAACTTCTTAATGATCGTGTTGTTTAAAAAATGATGATAATAATTAAATTTAGTAATATTGTTGCAAGAAGATCAAAATAAGTTCTCTATTCTTCTTAATATTCAGATAATGATATTAAGGATATCGTAACTAATGACCTTGAATTGGATATGATTTTTGATAATTTGTCGTTACTTTTTGTTGAGCGGCGGAGTTTTGCTTTTTAGCTACATAATTTATCTGTTGCAAGTTTTTTTTGGTTGACTTGTCTAGAATATACAGTACCTAAAACAATTTCATACAATGTTAAAATAACATAGGGGGTACGTGATAGATCATTAAGCTATTAAATTTATATGAATTATTTCCATGCTTAGCTAGGTCATCTGTTATTTTTTAACTAAATAGGATCAATATTTGTCATTTCAAGAGCTTATATTTTTAAATTTTATTTTATAACTCAAATTTATTATTTAATATTATTTGTTAGATTTTTAAAAAGTTATACTCATACATATAACGTACACGCGCATCGCGCGTATCCTAAAACTAGTAGTATAAAAAAAATCATAGAGTATCACAATACTGTTTTATTTGTGATAACATGTAGTTTTTTTTTTGGTGAGAAAGATAATATTACATAAAACTTAAAGAAAATTACTACAGAGAGGGTGATGCCTGATCTCCAGTATAGTTGTTTGATAGTTGGCTATTACATGGATGGATATTAGTTATCCTATTGGTGTTTTCTACCAAAATGACTCCACTGGAGGTTGTGTTTGCATGATTAGCATCGTAGGACCAAAGGGTGTTTTGTTCCACGTCCACAGGTTGGTCCGTTTGTCTGCACGTTTTCCTCCTATAAAGAATCCCTCCTGCCTGATCCATTTGTAAAAAGGTGTTGACAAAATTCGGTGGCTCTTCAAAAACAGTAGGTTTTGCAGCTGCTTCCATGGTGCATCCAGCCTTAGCCAAACAATCAGCCACCTCATTTCCCTCTCTGTATGTGTGGGCAACTGTAACACTATGTAGTTGGTCCAGGAGGTACCTGCAGTCAGCTATTATATTAGTATAAACTATATTATCATTTTTTAACAGGGTATGCACCTCTGATGCATCGTCGTTTATTTCCGGTGGAACCAAATTGCGTGTAGTTACCAGTTCCAACCCATGAAATAGGGCCTGTAGTTCTGCATGGATGGTAGTGGCAGTGTCAAAATTACCTGCAAATCCTACAATTCAATTTCCATTTGAGTCGCGTATGAGCCCCCCTATACCTGCTTTATGAGTGACTGATGATGTAGCCCCATCCGTATTTAATTTATAGTAGTTTGGTGGTATCCATTTGATATGTTGCATTATAGGAATTTTTCTTTCATGTTCCAGTGCTTGATTGGTGATTCATTTAGTGGATAGGTGGTGCTGTGTACGATTAAAGTTGTTATTGTTACGATTAATCCAAATGTTCCATAAATGTGTAGGAAATAAAAGTTCTATTATTGATACGGTAAGGCAGGGTTTTTTTTCCGTATTAATGAGTGTTATCAACCATTGTGAAGGAAGTGAATATCTACTGATCTGGTTGATAACCCCCATTAGTCCTAAGTCATTCCATATGTGTTGTATGTTAAAATAGTGTAAAAATATGTGGTTAATAGTTTCCTGATCTCGAAGATATTGTTTTGTAGGTAGCCTATTGTGCATTGAAAGCCAAAGTAATGTTTTTATTTTGAATGGTACTGGAATCTTCCAAGTCCAATTATATAGTGGTGTGTGGGTTGTTGTGTTTAAATCCTGTTGTTATAATTTGGAGTACATTGATTGCACCGTAAACTTTCCATGATTTGATAATCCCCAGTATATAGTGTCACATTTTTTTTTGTAGACAGGCACATTGATCCTATTAATAATATTTTTTAAAAAGCTTGTAATGTTAAAAGGAATTTCTGCCCAATTCCATTCATTTTGAGCTCTATAGGTAGCTATAGTCCTTGTAGTGTGGTCTAAAGGGATAAGACTATGTATTAAAGATCTAATTGTGGTGTTTGGAGCAATCCATGCATCATTCCAAAAATTGATGTTAGAATTGGTACCCACTTTCCATTGAGTTCCATGTTGGTATTTTTCCCAACCCAATATGATATTGTGCCAAGTATTAGAGAATGCTCCTGTTGTACGTTTGTTTTTATATTTATGTATGAGAGTGTTAGCCCAGAGTTGATTAGGTGAGTGAATTAGGTGTCAGGCTAGCCCTGCTAGTAGTGCATTATTTTTTTAATTCAAGCCTCTGTATAACGAGGCCTCCAAAAATTTTTGGTGTTGTAACTTTTTTCCAATTGAGTAAGTGAATTTTCTTTTTCTTTTTCTTTTTGAGTAGTGCCCCAAAGAAAATTACGCATATATTGCTCCATTTTGTTGATAATATTTTTAGGGATTGAAATGTATTGCATTATGTGGTTTAGCAAGGTAGAAAGGGTAGATTTAATGAGAGTAATTCTACCTGCTAGTGATAGGAAATTAGTCTTCCATCCTGCCAGTCTGGCTTTGAAGTTATCTAATAGGAATTGGAAATCTGACTTATTTGGTCTTTATTGAAACATGGGGAAGCCCAAGTATTTGCCAAAAAATTTCCCTTCGTTCATGCTAAAACAAGATAGAATATGATTCTTGGCTTCAGTAGTGCAGTTTTTGGAGAAGAATATTCTTGATTTTTGGAAATTAATAGTTTGGCCTGATAAATTATTAAAGGTATTAAGGGTACCAATGATAGCGTTGCAGCTTGTATTATTTACTATAGAGAGAAGGATGATGTCGTCGGCGGAAAAAAGGTGTGATAATTGAGGTCCATTTTTGAGAAATTTGGATGGGTTTCCATAATAGGTAATCTACTGATTGGAATATATTCCGTGAGAGGCGTTCCAAGCACATAATAAAGATATAAGGGGATAATGGATCTCCTTGACGTATATCCCTAGATGGTTGGAAATAATTGGTACGTGATCCATTTATCAATATAGATATGGAAGACGTTGTAATGCAAGAAATTATTAGGGAAATTAGATTGTTTGGTAGGTTGAAATAATGCAGTGTGTTTTTTATGAAGGACCATTCAAGCTTATCAAAAGTTTTTTCTAAGTCCAGTTTAGAAGCATCTGACCCGTTTTTCCTTTTTTCTTATTTTTGAAGTGGTTAAGGATTTCCTGTACAATGATTGCATTGTCAGAAGCTCTCTTCCCTTGTTGGAAACTTGACTGTGTTGGACCTATTATTTTTTGTATGAAAGGTTTGAGACGGTTTACAATTAATTTAGTAATTAGTTTGTAGATTGTATTGCAAAGACTTATAGGACGATAATGACTTTACTAGTTTGCTAAATAATGCTATTGTAGAAATTTACTTGTAATCACTTTATAATAAATCTAGTTGTATAAATATATTTTTTGGTGCATATCAGTGCGTAAAAATTAAACTCAATTGATACAAGTAAACTTTTAGTCTCTAATTTTTTCTTCCACCCGTTATTTATACTCATACTCATATTAAAATTCGACTAATCTAAATTCATAACCTATAAAATATGTTAAAGGAGAATTCTTTCTATCAAAATTCTTAAATCTCATGTTGAGTACATAATATCATGGGAAAAAGAATGTTGCGACACACAAAGACACAGAGCAGGACAGTGTCCTATGTGTTTCTCTTGGCATTTTATGTAATCACTAACTTCCAAATCTCCAGATGTAAAATACTTCCCAAGGATAAATAAAACCAAATTATTGAAACCTGTCCATTTTTATTTTTTTTCATTAGAAAAACTATCCATTTCCATTACTACTGTACTGGTATATGGATTCTTCCTCAGAGAGGTGGACTTGTTTCTTTCGACTGGAAACTGGTATATTATTCTACTAATATTCCGAATGATTCATTTAGTGGACCCTCCTTCCTCTTTGGATCTTTTCGACAATTATAACATCAAAATATTGCCTCCTCTATTTATTTATTGATTTGATTTTGTTATCTTTTATTTATACTCTCAGTTTTTCTGAGAGTCCATACAGATATAGCCAATTAAAGAACATTAGAAAATATCCAAGGACATGTTCCGTGTACTTCCCTTGTATAAACTAAGGCCAAAAGAGGAATTTACCAACTATGATCCTTGAGTTTTCGCATGCAAATGCTTTTGGAAGCTAGTATTGCTCGTGTCATTTCCAATACATTAGGTGATTTTTTTTATCTGTGTAAGTTTTGTAGAGCAGAATATTTCTACTCTGACTATAAATAGCAGATACTCGATGAAATACTTGAGATTGTGCAAACTAATTTGAACACCAACATTATATATATA